ACAATCCAAGGCACATGAATGATGAAAGATAGCACCCCGGTGCAGCCAGTGGAAATCTGAGAAGATTTGCCCACTTAAGGAAGGCAGTACGAGCTCGTCTGGCTTTTTTCTCCTCATGCTTGTTCATTTCGGAGTTCACTGTCAGCTGATGTTGCAACCGTTTAGTCAATTAGTTGCTTAAATTCCTTGAGACTAATGAAAGCCAAATCGTCCGCATATACTGGAGGAACATCCTAATTCGAAGGGGATTTCTCTGTACTGCCAACATCTCTTATTCTTTCCCTTCAATTTTTGCTTCTCCAATATATTCTCTGGCTCTTATTTCCTCTCGCGTACCTCCTATTATGCTCTATCAAAACTACTACTTGTTCTCTTTGGTCACACCTTGTCTTTTCGCTTTTACCCTCCGATTATCTGCTGATGTTTCCAGTTTGTTGTTGTCTGATCTGGAGAGCCGTCTGGAGAAATTCGGGCAGCGAACTGCAATGGCGACACTATTCTCTACAAGTCACACACTTCCATTTACCGAGTGAAGAGAGGGGGCATTCCTACTGTTCCCGAATATTTCAGTGACCTAGAATCGTTTCTAATTATGGAAAGGCGATCACCTGGAAGTCAGTAAGTCAATAAGACCTAGCTAAAAAGAACACGACGTCTGATTATCAGCAGTGGTTTTATGCATATGCATTAAACGGTTGCAACTCAGAAGTAATTTTAAAGGATGTGCAGGAATTTGTATTGCGGACAAATGGTTTAGCTGAGGTAAAATGAACAGTTTACTAATCTTTTATGTCGAAGAAATCATGCACTTAGGAGTGATCGCACTTCACCGATTGGAGACGTTCGTACACTGAAGGCAGTTACAGATACTTTGGAGTGCTGAATAGACTTTCAAAATCATGTTGAACACTGTGTTCAACCAGCTCTTACTTTAAAAAGTAGGATGGAGTGTCAGATTGTACAAAGAAGTTCGATGCTGGGCCAAAAACAGGTTTCATCTGTCCTATGAAAAGAGGTCAGTACTCGAAACTGAATCCCGTCCTCCCACTGAGAAATAAATGTCTGATGAGTATGGACAAGGTTTATCATTAAATATAACGTCGAAGATAGTGAACCCAGTGTTTTCTGTTTCCCCAGGAAAAACCACCCGCGGAATCACTCCGAAATACGAAGAATCCGGTCTAGGTAAGTCAATGTGGGTCATCCTTCAGCACAGTCAATAATCAAACTCCCCACCTAAAATGGTACATGATTCTTCCGTTAACAAATAGAGGAATAAAACAGGTGCGTACCTAGACTTAGTGTAAGAATAAAAGCTAATAAAACGCAACAAAGACTTAGTCATAGCAGAATGGAGCTTTCTGCGACAAATACATCAGCAGCATCCACCATACCAAATTTTCCAGATAACACATAGAGATCGAAATTCCTGTGTCTTCTAAGGTGCACAATGAGTGTAAACTTTCTGTTCAATAAATAAATGTACAGACAACCAGGTGTTGCCATGATATCACCAGTAGGCCCAATAATAGCAAATTTTTTCCTGGCGAAACTAAAGAATGGTCGTCTTAAAGATGTAATGTATAATCTTGATTCCCATTGCCCATATGTTGATGATAAATTTATGGTTGTGAAAAAACATAGTGAGACTAAAGAAATATTGGGTAAATTCAGTGAAGCTAATCCAGGCATATGCTTCCTAAAGGAGAGAGGGGAAGTGACTCTGTCTTCTTTTCGGACGTCCAAATAACTAAACGAATAGATGGGACAATATGTAGACAATTGCATAGAAAACCTGCTTCCACTGGTCAATATAGTCACTTCCTGAGCTCCGTACCCCTACAATACAAGCGTAATCTGGATAGATGTCTGGCTCACTGAGCTACAGTTATTTATTCAAATGAGACACTGAACGAGGAACTCGGTAATACTCGTGGTTTATTAAGTAGAAAAGGATCTCCGATTAAATTCGTGAACAAATACATGAACTCAGAAAGTAAAAAGTCAAGTGTTCTGAGTATCCCCAAAAATTAGTCTTCCTAAGCTGACGAACCATGGGTGACGTCAATAGATCTTATCACAACGTCTTAGAATGGTACTCGAAAGGACTTTCAAAGCAGCTGAGCTCTCCTGTGCATTCACTAGCCGACCAGTACTTTGTTCAAAAAAAGACAGACTGCCCTGCTTCTCCTCTTCCACGTGTATTTACCAGTTTAACTGCCCACGTGGAGCCAGTTACATTGAGCGTGTGATCAAGCAAGTTCATCATGGAATTTCTGAACACCTCCCATCTTCGTTTGTCAAAGGTCTGAATAAGGCTATACGCAGCCCAATACCACCTCATCCCATCGACAGTGGACATCAAGCCGACTTTTAAAGTTATTTAAAGAATATCACCCAATCTTTCCCGTGGTCTACGAGTGAGATTTTTACATACAACAGAGGCAGTCGGAATTCATCCGAACGAGACAAATCTGTGTTCAAAAGAAATTTGTACAGCCCCCTTCTTTGTCATGGTCCACTACATAATATATAGAGCAAGCTTTTAAAAACGATTTTCCCCTCCCCTTTTAACTATCTTTCACTTTGTTAATTTTTACATTTCCATCTAATTCTATTGACTTGTTTGTATTTCACCTAATCTTCTCAGTCCTCCTACTCTTATTAGTCATCGTTATTTTACAAATTTCTTGATTGCATAATAACTTGTTGCTAACGCGTAAGAATCAGCTTATCTTGAATTCCACAAATATGTTCAACCCCTCCTTCAAAACTTAGATAACACATTACTAACACCTATTAGTTAACTGTTTTGATGACCTTCAACCTTCTAATCTCACCCCCTATGCCTAAAACTGATAAACTAAAATAACTACTTGATTGGTGAAAATTTTTGGCATGAAAAACTATATTAGTGTAGAGCTGGTGATGAAGAACTAATTGAAAAGTAATATATTTCTTCACCCAATCTGTTGTTTTTTCTAAGTGCATATATTGGATTTCGGATATTCTCGAGGTTTTATCTTTTACTACTGAAAATTGGAAGTAAATCCACGTTGGTGGTGCTGAAAGGCTGAACTGATTGGGAGTGTAGACGACCACACTAGGTAGTTTAGCCGTGAGATCTTATATGTCTTGATAGCGATTATACAGCCAGAGAAAATGAATTCACCGAACTTTTCAGCTCTTCTCCAATGTTTTGAAGGGTATTTTCCACGGAGCGTAACGCTACTGAAATTCAGACAAGAAAATTCTGCGGGTTATTATGTTCTTCGGTTATCGGTCTTAAAATAATTCGCTGAAGTCGCGCACGCACCCTCACTTAACTTTTCTCAGAATGTTAAAGACTCATGAGATCTATCAAAGCACTTGGAAAAGGCCAGTGCGAATTCTATTTTCTAGCATGGTTACTGACAAAGTGAGATTGCATTCACTACTGATAGTTTCGATGGATGACAAGATTAGTAGACACCGACTGGAAATTTTGATCTATGTCACCAGTTGAAATGAACTCGTCACCAGTTTTTACAGACCTGTCATCAGTTGATACTATCGCGTCAACAGCTGGAGTGGGTGTAGTAATACTGAAGTAATGAACAACTCAACTGGTATGCTAAATACACGCATTCATCCGTCGTTCCTTCTGCTTCACTTAGCCAAGTAAATATAAAAAGACAGAAACTGGCTGTGACTGTTAGGATAGGATTTTATCAGGAAAAACATGTCATATTGATATATTTTTACCACATTAATATGGGTCCCCGGCAGTGGAAATAGATTGATCCAATTGATAGGCTATCCTGTTAAGGTGGGGAGAAATAAATATTCTGATTGTGTGGCGATTTGACCAAGACCGAGATGAGAAAAAGATGAATTATGACAGTCACCCGATCACGCGGTGAATCGCATAATGATCACTATTTTAAGCCGATTCTCTGTACTGGAAATATACACCTTATGAGGCGCAACATAGTTGAAGGACAAGTAGCTACTTTGCAACAAGCATACCGTGAATATCATAATTGCACATTATCCTAGCTTGTAAACGTCTTAATTGGTGCAGTCCTTCTTCACTTTGAAGGAGTATTCAAAATCGTTCTAAATGAAATTCCCCCTTTGAAAGTAGGCCAAGTGTGTATTGGTAGTCCGCTTCTCTTATAGTTTGCCGGTACCTTTAATGGAAGGCGGCTATGTACAAAGGTAAGTCATTCCTTGCAATCTTGACACGGTTCAGCCTTTGTTTTAGGGCTCGGCATTTTCGTAAGCCGGTAATATAAAGACATGGAGAACTATGTAGGGTCTGGAGAACTAAGACAGACTGCAAACGGACTCAAAACTTTGAAAGACTGGACAGAATTGAAACAAACATCGTTCTGCTTCAACCTCACGTGAGTAAATTATTCGGGTGACATAGCTAGAAAGTATGTTATTGTGCGCTTCATGAGCAAGAAGCTATGTGGTCTTTTCCTAGAGCTGTATGAAACCTGCCTACGACTTTATTGCAAGGTAAATAAAGTGGCTGCTTTACCTATACTTAAATGGGAAGGAGAGAGAAGGTCGACATACAGGGTTATAGACCTCCAAAATAAGACACTTACCGGAAGGCTGTTAGAGATAGATAAATTCACTCCTGGCTACTGACAGATTGGTGGTGGGCTAATCAGCTCTTACAAGATCCGAAATTGCCCGAGGCATACAAAAGAGAAACCTAACCCTCAAGTGATTGCGGCCTCCCTCACAGTAACCCACGGTAGGTGGCGCATCACAGGGCAAAATCTTAATTGCTCTCCCAATTCTCTTTGGTTGGACTTTGGCTTCACAGATTCCTTATACAATAAACGTGGTTACTGTGCAGTCAGTGGGAAGCTATAAATCAAGGCTGAATACTCATGAAGCAACACACTGAGGACAACAGATATTGAATATATTGCTGCTCAAGGTCATTCCTGTAGTGTGCATCGATACTCCCGCAAAGTTTAAATCTGTAGGAATTTTGAAGCATGCAGACTGGTGGACCCTTAATTGTTCTCAGTAAGTGTTTATTAGCTTCAGTAATACTGTAAACAGACCGAGCAGCCAGGGGTGAGCAGGGAAAGTCAGTTCAGCTGGCTAATATTGAGGCTGGGAAGACCGTCGCAGATGTTATACGAACATGTTTAGGTCCACGAGCAATGCTAAAAATGTTAATGGATCCCATGGGTGGTATTGTCATGACAAATGACGGCAATGCAATATTGAGAGAGGTATATTTTTATATTTGTAGATATATATATTTTGTAGATAACAGTTGAACATCCAGCTGCTAAATCTATGATTGAAATCGCACGCACTCAAGATGAGGAAGTCGGTGACGGTACCACATCAGTTATCATTTTAAGTATGTGAATTTGATTACAGTTAATTTGGTTTCTTCAGGTGGTGAGATGCTGGCAGTGGCTGCTCCATGTTTAGAAAAGCAAATACACGCAACGAAAATCATATCTGCATTCAGAAGTGGTCTTGATGACATGCTTGTTTCACTTCGTGAGAAATTAAGGTAATTTTAGCTGAATATTCTTTCATTTTCAGTATTCCATGTGACGTAACGAGTGAGAGTGAGGTGCTGAAAATCATCAAGAGTTGTGTCGGTACAAAATTCATCAATCAATGGTATGTTTGCTATCTGAATAACTATCAATCAGGTCTGACCTAGCTTGCAAAATCGCCTACGATGCTGTTAAGATTGTAACAGTAGATATTGATGGCCGCAAAGAAATCGATATCAAACGCTATGCAAAAGTAGAGAAAGTAAGATAGTTTAACCTCTTGTGAGTTTCAGATTCCCGGCGGCTCTACTGAAGATTCCGTTGTTCTTGATGGCGTTATGTTTAATAAAGATGTCGTGCATCCTCGTATGGCGAGAAGGATAGAAAACCCCAGGATCTTGCTTATGGATTGTAATCTGGAATATAAGAAAGGGGAAAGTCAAACGACTATGGAAATAAGTGATGACAAGGACTTCACGTAAATATAATATTTTATTCATTCATAACTTTTCAGTCGTGCTTTAGAAATAGAGGAGTCGTGCATCAAGGAAATGTGTGATCATATTATACAATTCAAACCAGATGTTGTTATAACTGAAAAAGGAGTTAGCGATCTGGCGCAACACTTCCTTAGCATGGCTAATATATCAGTTATCAGGCGACTGCGAAAAACAGATAACATGCGCATAGCTAGAGCCAGCGGTGCTACCATTGTCAATAGACCAGAAGAAATCAAGGAAGAGGATATTGGTCTCCAAGCCGGTCTTTTTGAAGTGAAAACCATAGGAGAAGAGTACTACACATTCATCACAAAATGCAAGGTAAATTTATGCTTTGAATTTTCATTTTCAGAACGCAAAAGCATGCACAATTATTCTTAGGGGTGCCAGTAAGGATGTACTCAATGAAGTTGAGCGCAACCTGCAGGACGCTATGAGTGTAGCTCGTAACGTTATGCTTGAACAAAGATTGGTTCCCGGTGGTGGTGCTATTGAAATGGCTTTAGCCCAAGAATTGACTGAAAAATCGAAAACAGTCGATTCTGCTGTCCAGCAAATGGTGTATTTAGCAATGGCTCAAGCTTTAGAGGTGATACCTAGAACACTAGCTAAAAATTGTGGTGCTAACGTGCTCCGCTTAATCACAGAACTACGTGCGCGTCATGCTACTGACCCTGCAAAATATTGGACATGGGGTGTAGATGGAGAAACTGGACGACTTGCTGATATGAAAGACTTGAAAGTTTGGGATCCCTTGGCAGTTAAGTCACAGACCTTGAAAACCGCTATTGAGGTGAGTTCATCTTGAAATTGATCTTCCATTTTCCAGACGGCAATATTACTTTTACGTATCGATGATGTGGTTTCTGGTGTGAAAAAACAATCGGGAGACAATGCCCCAGCTCCTCCAGCTACTGAATGAAAAAATTTAATGTCTTGTCTTTTGTTGAATTTAAATACACGCTGAGTCTGTATGCACGTGGATTATTTTTCTTTTGCCGAAGTAAGAAACATGTTCATGTAGTTTTCTGAAATCTACTGATCATTATTTGCTAGCAGGTTGATTGGGTTTTGGCATCACTACTCTTTCTATCATAGAATACCTTCGTTTTCAAATATATCACTCCATCTCTACGTGGTACAATTTCTAAAAGTCAGTATTTAAGGATGCTAACACTTAATTTTTTGTTTTTAAATACTACTTATACTAGGGTCCATATGTAACTAAACTTCTCGTCACTTCGTGTTGTTTCGAATTCGAAACCGTAACTTACATCGAATAACAGCTTATTTGCTCCCTAAATTAGTGGTAATGACCACCAGCCAGATTATGATTAAACTATGCGAGTATGAGCTACTGATTCTCAGACTTTTGGGTGTCCTAATAGGGACTGCTCACTTTTTACGACCAAGCAACAGCTTGTCAGGATCGTAATGTATGATCCAGGTTGCGGCAATAAGTCGATGTCATGATGTAGACCGTCGAATCTCTTAACATGTGTGATGAATGCATGATTTGTCTGTCTGTCTGCATGATTTATTTAGTTATAGCTTGTGGCAATGCCTAAAGAACCAATCGGGTGTTCTTAACCTAATTGAAGTTATAAAAATCATGGTCTGAACTCATTTAATAACCAGATAGTTCGTTACACTGTAAGATAGAAAATATTAGGATCACATGTATTATTATTATTGTTTCCTTTAATTCCTAGAGGAACATAGGGCTTCAGCCGTGCGTCTCCATTGCGTTCGGTTCTCTGCTAGAGTCTTCACCTGGCTCCAAGTCTGCCCACACGTTTTCATCTCCTCTTCACATGACCTCCTCCAAGTCACCCTTGCACTGACGACCAACTCGCCGCTTCCCTTTCGGGTTCCACTCGAGCAATGGCTTGTCTAGTGATGTCACTTGATGGTTTATTCAGAGTATGGCCAATCCATCTCCATTTCTTCCTGCCTATTTGTTTCACAATCGGTTCCTGGTTGGTTCGCTCATTGCCAGAGATCTCTGTTGCTGATCTTTTCTGGCCATCTGATCTTGAGTATTGAGCGAAGACAACTGTTAATGAAGGTCTGTAGTTTGTTTGAGATGCTCTTTATGACGCGCCAAGTCTCTGATCCGTATAGTAGCACTGACTGACTTCACATTGGAGTTGAAAATTCGGATCTTATTTTTGATGCTGAGTGCTGCTGACCTCCACACAGACTTGAGAGTAGTGAAAGCTTGTCTTGCTTTTCCGATTCTTGCTTTGATATCCTCGTCAGTTCCGCATGTAGTTGAAACGATGCTTCCCAGGTAGGTAAAAGAGGTTGTTTCTCTCAGGTTCCTCCCATTTATGCTGATCGTTATCTGTTGTTGTTGTTCTTGCCCAGGAATCTTCATCACCTTTGTTTTCTCTATGTTCACCTGAAGTCCTATCTTCTCCGGATGCTTCTTCTGCCAACTTGTTGCTTTTCGCTTGCATATCTTCCAGTTTGTGGGAAATCAGACATATATCATCGGCGAAGTCCAGATCCTCCAAGTTTTTTGTGTGAGTCTATTTTATGCCTGTTTCCTCATTGCCTGCTGTCTGTCGCATTATCCAGTCTACTGCAATCAGGAAAATCATTGGCGATAGTAGGCAGCCTTGTCTTACTCCTGTCCTCACTTCGAAGGTTCCGTAAGTTTCCCGTTGTGGATTACTTGGCATGCAGCATTGTCGTACAGCTGTTGGATGAGATGTATAATTGTCGGTGGCACCCCGTAGTAGCTAAGTAGTTGACAAAGCACCTCTTGATCGACGCTATCGAAGGCCTTTTCAAAGTCGATGAAGTTGAGATAGAGAGGTGACTACCATTCCAAGCTTTGTTCAATGATGATCCGTATTGTGACGATCTGATCAATGCATGACTTGTTTCTCCTGAATCCAGCCTGTTCCGGTCGAAGTTTTTCATCCAAGGCATGTTTGATTCTCTTCAGGATGATGCGGCTTAGTATTTTGCTTGGGATGGACAGGAGCATAATTCCGCGCCAGTTCTTGCATTGACTTAGGTCTCCTTTCTTTGGTAGTTTGAATAAGTATCCTTTCTTCCAATCCTCGGGTACTTTGCCTTCTTTCCACACCTTCTCCAGTAGTGGCGTCATCAAGTCCGCTGTTGTCTCTGGATCAATTTTCAATGCTTCTGCTGGGATTCCATCTGGTCCTGCTGCTTTTCCAGCTTTTAGCATCTTGATTGCCTTCAGGACTTCTGATTTCGTCGGGGGGGGGTTGGTGTTCACTGGTAGCTCTGTCTCCGTCGTTGGTATTGTTGGGCGCGTTGTCGGTGGTGGTCGATTTAGGAGTCTTTTGAAGTGTTCAGCCTAGTGTTTCCTTTGCTCCACTTCTTTGGTGAGTGACTTTCCATTGTCATCCTTCACCTGCTTAATTTGTGTCAAACTTTTGCCCGATAGGTACCTAGTTGTTTGGTAGGGTGTTGCGAGGTCTCCTTTGCCTGCACCTTGTTCTGCTTCACTTGCCATGGTTTCATAATACTTTCTTTTGTCTTCTCTGGCACTCTTCTTTACTCTTTTGTTCAGTGTCTTGTAGTTTGCATTCAAATCCTGTTTTTGTTGCTCATCGGTGCACTGGAGAATCTTTTGTTTCACCATCCCTTTCTCTTCTATTAGTTTCCAAGTGTCCGTAGTGAGCCATTGTTTGTCCTGTCTCTTCTTTCTGCCTAGAACTTCCATGCAGGTTTGACTCCACACTGTTTCCAGGTTGTTCCAGTGCTTTTCGACGCTGACCTCTTCGCCAGTGTTGATTTGTGTCTCGGCTTTGTCCCTTATGCTTGCAGTGAAGATGTCCTTTGTGTCCTGGTCCTTCAGTTTTTGAGTGTTGAACTTGGCTTGTGGTCTATCTGCAGCTCCTGTTTCTCTGAAAGCTTTTAATTTGATTTGGACTGTCCCTTGTACTAGATAGTGGTCTGAGCCAACGTCTGCTCCTCTTCTTACTTTTGTGTCCAGCAGGCTGTTGCCGTTGGTGACATCATGATAGCCACGCCCTCGGTGTGCATGTGGTTATCCTCTGGGTGACCGGATCACGTGTAAGCAGAGGCTTTTACGTAATTCTTCTGAATAGTTGTGAAAGTATATTCATCAGTTTGAGGATTTCTGTTTTCTAGCGAACTGTATTGACCCATGACTTAAATCTTGTATGTCTACATTGTACTAGGACTGTTAATTGTTCCTCACTAATTAACGTGTTTGGTCTATAAGGTCTAAGATGCTAGCTTCGTGACGTACTCGGTGTCCACATGTTAATCTGTTGGTCTCGCTAGACAAAACTCCGAATCTCTGCAAGTTTGATGGAATACCGACGAAACCAATTGACTTTTATCACTGTCGGAGGGGTCTTTGCATCTATTCAGATCATGGAAAGTACTTATCGGTGTACTAAAGAGGAAACAACTAGTCCCATGATATGAAAGGTGCAGGGATCTTCGTCAGTGAAGTACCTCAATGGGTTTCTTTGGTGCTCTGCCAAACCTTTTGAAGTGAATGCAAAATTTAACTACCTGGAGAACTCAATTTACTAAAGATGGTTTCTACATAACACTGAACAGGCCTTCCCGTCTTAATAATGATGTTTCTAAAATAATAGAAGTGAGCAATATTGTTTTCAGTTTCCACTGCAATATACACTAATTCACAAGTGAATCTTGATTGTAAACTAATCATGGGGATTCGTCAATGGGGTGGAAAGAATGCAGCGAATCATGCATTTGGTCAACAATAGTAATATTAATAATAATTATGGACAGTAGGTAGATGTGGTGAGGAGAATAATAAAGACAGAATTATTGTACAAGGAGATATATTAGAAAACAAAAAAACCAGGGTTGTGGAATGATAAGCTGTAAGAGAAGTACATAGGAGGAAGATATAACATGTTTGTGAAGAGGTTGACGAAAATGGTTAGATGATAAATGGAAATCTATATATAGGGGAGGGGTGTTATTAATTAAGCCTTCTCTGGTCATAGGATGAATAACGTCCGTACAAACTGTTTTTGAACATAGTAATTCGAGTGCCAGTAGCCTCAGCTATATTCAGCAGATGTAGACAGCAAGAATCAACGAGATACGATAAATAACCTCAGATACTTCTTTTTGTCTACTAAGTGAGTCTTGTAAACCAGATTAGATAAAATGGAGCTCTGGGTAGTTTTTATTTATACCCAGTCGCGACGGTAAATGTCCTGTGACAAGTTTAAGCTGTTTGGTTTTGCGTCTAATGTAACTTTCTCTACGGGAGCAGTCGAATCGATTAGTATTTCAAGAATGTAGGGAAAATAGATGGCGTATCTTTGGTTTAGCTCACAAGCATTTATCAGATTGAAAGACTTGTCTGCACCACAGAATATCTTCCAAATAGTTCTTGTCATTCTGGAACAAAATCCCACTCATTATACCACCTCTAGCCTGCAATGTTTTTTCCCCCATAGAATCGTCGTTTCTGGAATTTTGTTTACTCAGTCCATATGCCTTATCATAGTATTTGTGAATGCCATCTCAACCAAGTAATCATGAATGTGTTCAAGTTCTGTTAGCAAACGGTTTCCGAAACAAACTTTTTTGTTATGTTCGTCGGGCATTTAACAGGATATATTTTTTAACAACTAAGAAAGTGTAAATATTGCCCTGTGGATGTGGTCATTCTAAACACACTTTTTCAAGTCATCTGTCTTCTCATCTGTTTATTACGGTGTCGGGAAATTTCGGTTGGTATTTAGCAGCATCTACCCCCCCCCTCTAGGTCGAATCACATTAATGATGATTAGTCTGTTTTATAGTGCGAGCCGAATAAGAATTCCATACTTGATAGCAAAGTTATTTCATTGTGTTCTGAATGAAACTACTACAATGTGTTCTCACGAATAATAAACCCCAAAAATGGTATATTTTCGA